TCACAACTAATAGTTTAACAGCACTAATATACATATATATATATATATATATATATAAAATAGTAATTCTTTTTTTTTTCCTTTTCCCAGTAGCTGAATTTCAATAAATTGATGTTATAAGCCCTTTTTTATTTCAATGGAGGTGATAGAAAATTTGCCAGGGTCGAAACTGTTCTGGACAAGCTGTTGCCCACAAGATGTCAGTCAGTCCCAGGAATTTCTGCAGCTTTAATTGTTGTTCATGTAGAACGGCATAGCAGCAGGACATTTCTGCCAGTGTTCAACTGATAGAATATAATAAGCCTTTGTTGGCTTTTCTGTAGTATCATTTATAACTAACAGAATAACAGCTTATATAAACAGTCTGTGTGACACTGCAATAAAGTTGCCAAATTAAAGCATTCTGTGCAAAAAGAGCGTCTTGTAAATTGTATACTTTTTTATAAATCAATGAAGTTATGTTTGGCAAAATAAGATTAACAATAATGTTTTTTTTCCCCACATTTTCTGAAAACGAGAGTACAGCTTTACAAGCTGCATGATTTCAGATATAAATCATGTTCGTAGCACAACCAGTGTGAGAAATTGCACGCTGAAGTTTTAAACTCAGGATTAGGGGTTGGTTCAGATAGCAGTCACTAACCGTGAGCAATTATAACAGTGATGCTTGCTGTAGTAAACCCCACTAACTACAGGAAAATGTTGGACTTGTTAAGCACACAGTATTTACAAAATCCCAAAATGCTTTTTATTTAAGCCTGATAAAGAGCTGAACTCACATTGCAAACATTAACATATGTACAAATCAGGAACAAACCTCAGCACAGTGCTCAATCTCACCACCAAAAGCAGATTCGGTGAGCAAAAAGACCATCTGGAGATCAGTTTTGCTACAACGAAATCTGTTTTGATAGTTTTTCGCTGTGTGTAAGTTGTGAATCTTTGCGGTCTTCTTAATGAAAATTCAAGCAGTTCTTGTCGTTGGCGCTTTTTCTCTCACAGGTGGGCATTCGTGTCTCAGTGGGGCTGTTGAGTGGGCACCGCCGGTGGCTGTCTCCTGCAACATATTACACATAACCTGAGCTGTCAGAACAGACTGCCATATAGGTCATAGCTCACAGCTAATGGAAATAACAACAATCTCCCATAAACTGCTCTACTTCAGATGTCTGCATATGTTTACAATTGCCTGCGAGTGTGTTTTGTTTTGGGCAAATGAAAGCAAAATGAACACAAATGGCCAGATCAGATCAACAGGACTGAGAAGAACACAAAAATGATTTTTCTTTAAATGGGCTACAAATAAATACCCAACCCTGCCGATTTGCTGTGAGTCATACACAAAAAATCTGAACAAAAAAGAACTCTTAATGTAAACCCATACTTGTGAAAATATCCAGAATTTTTTTTTAATCTCAAACGTGCTTACTAGTTTGTTTTTTAGTGATACTTTACGTTAAGGTTTAATTTGTTAACATTTCTTAATGTATAGTTATCATGAACTAACAATTTACAATACATTTACAGCATTTATTAATTTAGGGTAGTTTTACATTCGCTACCATTCAAAATTTTGGGGTCAGAAAGAAATTATTACTATTATTCATCAAGGGTGCATTAAGTTGATCAAAAGTGACAGAAAATACATTTATAATGTCACAAAAGATTTCTGTTTCAAATAAATACCGTTCTCTTGAATCTAAAATATAGGTATCAACATTTCCAGAAATACATTAAACAGCGCAACTGTTTTCAACACTGATAATAATAAACAATAAACGTTTGTTGAGCAGCAAATCAACATATTAGAATGTTTTCTGATGGCTCATGTGACACTAAAGCCTAAAGTAATGATGCTGAAAATTCAGCTTTGCATCACAGGAATAAATTACATTTTAAAATATATTCACATAGAAACCAGATATTTTAAACTGTAACAATATTTCACAATATTACTGTTTATACAGTATTTGTAATCAAATAACTGCAGGCTTGGTGGGCATAAGAGACTTACTACAAAAATATATATATTTTTAAATTGTACTGACCCCAGACGTTTGAAATATGGCATATACATTTTAACAATATACGATGGTTTATTTACAAATTAACATTAACCTAGAATAGGTTGTGATACCTACTGCATGAACTAATTTTGACCTTACCATAAAGTGTTACAGTTTTTTAAGAATTTTCCAAAGCAGTAATTACTAGCAGTTCTTAAAACTAAAGTTTGTGATTTCAGAAAAGTCCCACCACAAACACACGTAATTGGTTAAGCTAATGTTTCTGTGCCGTTCTGGTCAGGATGCTCAAATGAACAGGGCAAAATTTTGACAGCGCCACTGTGACAATGTTTTAGGGAAATCTTCGTCTCCACATCTTAGGCACGAATAGAAGTATTCTAACATTGTAAAAATGACACATCACCTTCAATTAGGCCCAAAAGAGCTCATTATTGTGTGCTGACCATGTTACAATCACAAGCTACGGTGTCGGGACGTCTTGAATGTGTGTGTGAGTGTGTGTAAGGGGAATATGAGTCCAGCATTCCTGCAGAGTTGGTCCTGGAAAGATCCCTGTGGAGACGCAGGAATCTCAACTCTCTAATGGAGCTGGCAGAGGGAGCAGCTCTCTGGGATGGGAAAGAGAAGAGAGTGGCTTTTATTTTTTTTTTAACAATCATATGCTGCCATAAAGTCATGCTGGAATGATCATATTTATGAG